ACCAACAGACCTAGGAAAAAAACCAAAATAGCGAGGGGCAACTCTGATGGTCCTGATCTGAATGTCACCTTTGGCAAAGGATCAGAGGACCCGACAAACCGGTTCAATGTCCTACTAGATTTCGATGATGAGATGGAGACGAATGCCTCAGCGCTTCGTGCTTCGACTCCATCGAAATCCAGCCAAAATAGCAAAAGATAAATAATACAATTATCCAATGGAACATCCGCGGATTAAAGGCAAATATAGAAGAATTTCAGAATCTATCAAAAGAATTTAGACCCGCCATTTTTTGTCTACAAGAAATCATGCTCAAAAACCCAATCACGCTTAGAAATTTCTCACTCTACACTAACATTCCAACTGTAGTTAGCAGAGCAGCAGGTGGCGCAGCGGTAGCTGTCCATAAAAATATTCCTCACAGAATGATCAAGTTAAACACAAATTTACAGGCTGTTGCTGTCTGTGCAACATTACACAGACAAATAACCGTCTGTTCAATTTATCTCCCTCCGAGTATTGTTTTCACTTGTGAGCAACTCAATAATCTCGTCTCCCAGCTCCCAACACCATTCATAATCCTCGGTGATTTTAATGGTCATAATAGCCTGTGGGGCTCTCCCAACACAGACGAGAGAGGAAGACGTATTGAGGAATTTATAGATAAAAACAACTTGTGCCTTTTTAACAACAATACCCCTACTTATTTACACCCTGCTACAGGCTCCCATACCCACATTGATCTATCATTATGCCATCCATCCATTCTACTTGATTATGACTGGAGGGTAAATGATGATCTTTGTGGGAGTGACCACTACCCAATTTTTCTTAAAAATATTGGGACTCCTCTTGATGATCCTCTACCTCGATGGAATATGCACAAAGCAGATTGGATCCAATTTCAATTCATGTGCATTGAAAAACTAACCATAGACAATTTTACTAACCTCGACGACCCTATCAAAACTTTTACTGAAACACTCACTTCTATTGCCCAAAAGACAATTCCAAAAATCCACTCCAAAACCTACGAAGTTCCTTTTATCTGAAGAATCTTTTAAAACACGCCGTAATCGGGCAGCTGCTCTAAGACGCTACTCCAATTGCCCAAATGCTTCAAACTACAGTGAATTTAAAATTTGGCGGGCAAAGGCTCGGCGATCAATTAAAATTGACAAAAGAAACAGCTGGAGAGAATATGTATCCAAGATATCATCAAACACGTCCTTAAAAAAAGTATTGGATATGATTCGGAAAAATAAGTGGGAAAAAGAAAAAGGCAACATCCTCCCACCTCATTAATAAAAACTTTTTTTTTCGTCTTTGACTGAAATTGCTGATGCATTTGCAAAAAACATAGCTAAAAACTCATCCCCTTTAAACCACTCCCGAAAATTCCAGTCTTTAAAAAAAGGAGAGAAAAGAAACGGCTCAATTTCAAATCATCAAACAAAGAAAGTTATAATGAACAATTTACCCTACGAGAACTTGTTGATTCGCTTAAAAAATCACAGGACACTGCTTCAGGTCCTGATGATATTCCATATCAATTTCTAAAGCACTTACCGGACTCGTCACTAACATGCCTTCTTTACATATTCAACCAAGTTTACGCTTCCGGAAAGATTCCCGATTCGTGGAAGAACTCCACAATTATACCTATCCCAAAACCGGGAAAGGATGCTACTGACCCAAACAACTATCGTCCTATCTCTCTAACTAGTTGTGTATGTAAAACTTTTGAACGAATGATAAACACTAGACTGGTTTGGTTTCTTGAGGCCAACGATATAATATCCCCTCTTCAAAGTGGTTTTAGAAATAGAAGAGGGACAAATGACCATCTCATTAGATTAGAGACGTTCATTCGAGAGGCTTTCGCCAGGAAGGAACATCTTGTCGCCGTGTTCTTTGATCTTGAGAAGGCCTATGATACTACATGGCAGTATGGCATCATGAAAGATCTTCACGACCTTGGCGTACGTGGAAACCTTCCCAATTTTATATCTAATTACCTATCAGATAGACACTTCAAAGTCCGTGTTGGTTCAACTTTTTCTGAAACGTCTAAACAGGAAATGGGAGTCCCACAGGGTGGAATCCTATCAGTCACACTGTTTGGTCTTAAAACGAATGATATAGTCAAATGTCTTGGTCAATCAACAGAAGGGTCGTTATTTGTGGATGACTTCTTGATCTGTTACAGATCTAAGAACATGCACACGATAGAACGACAACTTCAACAGAGTTTAAACAAACTACAAAATTGGGCAGACGAAAACGGCTTCAAATTCTCTAAATCCAAAACTGTGTGCATGCATTTCTGTCAAAAACGAAAAGCACACAATGACCCAAATCTAACACTCGATGGCACTAGAATTCCTGTTGTTGAACAGACTAAATTTCTCGGCCTCATTTTTGATTCGAAACTCTCTTTCATACCACATATAAAGTATCTGAAGGATAAGTGTTCCAAGGCGTTAAACATTATACGAGTCCTTTCTCATACTGATTGGGGAGCGGATCGTGAAATGCTTTTGCGCCTATACAGATCACTTATTCGAACAAAACTGGATTATGGTTCTATGGTATACGGGTCAGCGCGCAGTTCGTACCTTCAGATGCTAGATCCAATCCATAACCAAGGGCTACGTCTTGCCCTGGGAGCTTTTCGAACAACACCTGTAAAAAGCCTGTACGTGGAAGCAAATGAACCATCCCTTTATGACAGAAGAATAAAACTTTCATTACAATTTGCAACTCAATTAAAATCAAACCCTAAAAATCCTGCTTTCAACCAAGTATTCAACCCCAAATACCAAAACATATTTACGCAAAACCAAAAACTTCTGCCAACATTTGGTATCCGAATTTTGAATTTCCTGCAAGAACTCAACATAAAATTGACGGACATAGCTGAATTTAACATATCTGATGTTCCTCCGTGGACCATTCAAACCCCCGATTTTAACTTTACATTACATGAGCGAGGGAAATCAAGTGTTATGCCCGAAGAACACAAATCCTCCTTTCGGGAATGCATTTCGAATTACCCTTCTCATACACAACTTTACACCGATGGCTCCAAAGAAGGTGAGAAAGTGGCAGCAGCCTGCTGTACTGCCAATACTTGCACTTCAGTCCGACTACCAGACGGCGCCTCCATCTTTTCTGCTGAAGCATGCGCCATTGGTTTGGCCCTCGACCATATCGATGAACACCGCATTAAAAAGGCAATTATTTGTTCAGACTCTCTATCTGTCCTACAGAGTTTACAGTTACGAGATCCTAAAAACACAATCGTACAAAACCTTGCTCATCGAATATCTCGTATATTAAAAAAGTCTAAAATAACTTTACTATGGATTCCGAGCCATGTCGGAATAAAAGGCAACGAATTTGCTGACAGGGAAGCAAAAAATGCATTGAATCTCGAACAAACAAATATCAAACTACCATACACAGATTTTAAACCTACTATTCGTACAGCCATTCAAAATGAATGGCAGAAACGCTGGTCTCTGGAGACCAACAACAAACTTTTTAAGATACAACCGAAACTTAAAACATCTATTCCCAGTCGGAAAGATCGTAGAGAGGAAGTTGTCCTCGCTCGGCTCCGCACTGGGCACACATATCCTACTCATTCGTACCTTTTAAAACGAGAAGATATACCTTCATGCCACGCATGTGACACTCCATTTACAGTGGAACATTTTTTAATAGAATGTTCCGATTTTAAACACATTCGTGATAACTACTTTCGAGTCCCGGATATGAAAACACTTTTCAGTTCCGTGGATTCGAAGGCGTTATTTAACTATTTGAAAGACATCGGTCTATTTTATAGACTCTGTTGTCTTTTAACCCACCTTACCCTTTTTGACGTTATATATATATCACATATTCCATATCATCTATTCGTTATCTCTTTCATTATTTTAACCCCCTTTTTATTTTTTATTATCTACACATACAATGCGAATGCTTTTAAAATGAACCATTTTATCTGATTTTATCTTCGCTACTCACATGTTTGTTAAAAAAAAATAAAAATAAAAAAAATCACCATGGCCCTAAATGACCACAGCCGTCGATGGGCCGTTAAACATAAACAAACAAACAAAATCATAACTGTAATTGTTAATAAAGTAATGTTATATTCACATTATTGAACGTGTTCTATGTATACTGTGATGTCACTCTCCTGTCTATTCTAATTATGTTTAGATAATGTTATATGTATATATGTATGTACCTATAAGTCTAAGGGCTTTTGGTTAATAAAGAATGAATGAATGAAGGTAGGGATTAAGTCCACGTGTGATGTGATTGACAAGTATTTAGGTATGGCTTTGGCTACGTGTCATCTGAACCAGTTTCACACCTGACCATTGATTGACAGGTGATGCTTGCTACAAATAACAATAACTTCTGTATTTCTTTGATTTCTTTCCGAACTATAGTAAATCATTCCCGCGAGAATTTACTTCATAAATAATGAAATTCATCTTTCTATATTTTATCCAATATCACAACGATAAACTATTGTATATCATGCCCGTGATAATTGATTTAATTACTTCATAAATGATGAAATATATCTTGCTATAATTTTTCCAATATAACAATGATAAATTGTGTATTTGAATATCACAGACAGGTATTTAACATGTATTTATTATCACAGACAGGTATTTCACTTGTATTTAGAATCACATACAGGTATTTCACTTGTATTTAGTACCACAGACAGGTATTACACTTGTATTTGGTATCACAGACAGGTATTACACTTGTATTTAATATCACAGACAGGTATTACACATTTTTGTACTTCAACACAAATCTACTGTAGGCAATTTTACTTCGCTGTAATTCAATACACCTAGCAATTACATGCTAATGGCAGTTACAAGAACCAATGGTTTAATTTATACACTGTAATCTACTTGTTTTATATCACTGTGTGTTTATATTCTGTAAACTATTTGTATTTTTTTTAAGGATTAAGTCCTGTTCATAGTCTGGTGAGGTATATGAGATATAAATCAATGGGTCTTTAGACATAATGAGTGATTCAATGCTTCTTCACATTTAACTTATCTCAAAGCCAATTGAAGGTAAATATACCCTATATAAATTCAACAAAACAGAACATGTTTTAATTTACAATTAATATAATTTTTATAATTTTG